TATCAACATCCTCTCTCTCTCTTCCCAGAGGTCCCGCAGCATTCTAGACCCAAGTTTATCTTCACACCTTGTGTGTATCACCAATCAGCTCATTTCTCTTGACTATTAATGATTTGGCTCAGGAATGCTGAGTGGTAAAATAACCAGAGAATAAATCCATTCCTTTTCATCTCCTTCCTCTGTCAAAAACTTGAATGCAAAATATCTTGAATCCTACCCACTAGCCAGTTCTGTCTTATAGTGTAAGCAGAGGCAAAAAGAAAAAAGGAATTGTGCTTATTTTAACTTACCATGATGTCCATTTACGGGTAATGCACAGGTATAGGAGGATGTTTAAAAATAAAGCTAATGAATGACCATTTCAGAAGGCTTATTCTTATTGCATATTTGGAGGGATCATTCCAGACATAAGCCTTGAGTGTAATAAGTTTTTGAAATGAAACTCCAACATCTCAAATCCAATATATCCAAGACTCATTATCTTCTTGTAAACTTGTTTCTCTTCCTGTTCTCTCCAGCTTGGCATCACATTCCCACTCGGTCACATAAGCTACAGAACTAGAGTCTTCCTTTGATTTCTTTCCTCACCTGTTGTTTCAACTTGATCAACAAAACCCATCAATTTTCTCTCTTTAGCATCTCTAAATGTCTTTGCCTCCCTTCTTTTCCCACTGCTGCCACTGCCTTAGTTGTACTAGTCATCATCTCTCACTTGGACAATTGACCATGGTCTTCTAAATGATCTCTTGCCTCCAACTTTCTCTTATATCACCTTCACCTTCCACACTACCAGCAAAATTACTTTCCCAAAATGTACTGCTGCCTAAAAACCTTACAATCTAAGTGATAGAATATGAAATCCTTAGGCTGATATTCAAGACATTTTCCAATTTGGAACCAAGAAATGTTTTAGACTTATCTTCTCTTATTCTTGCTATGAATATGTGAGTCTAAGCTCTAGCCAAGCTGGATTGCTCCAGTTATATTGAGAACTTTCAGACTTCCATCTTTTTATTTATGCTGGAGTACCTCTGCATTCATGTCAACCCACACATCTCATCCTGGTGAAATATTATCTCTCAAGGATCGCTCAATGTCACCTCCTCTATAAAGCCTTCCGTAATTCATTAGACCAATTACTCATTGAATAGCCCTGAGAACGTTAGACCCAAAAATGTCTAACAGGCAAATTGAAAATACTCTATAACATTTTTCCTTCAAAAACATTTAGTTAGGTCAACTATGTATTAGGTACTGTAACAGGTGCAAGGGATACAGTGGTAAACAAAACAGGTAGGATTAGTTTCGTGGAACTTCGATTTTAGAGGAGAAAATAATCAAATGGTAAAAATAAATACATAAATAATTTCAGATACATAAACAGAGTAATGTGCGACTAACTAGGAAGATGAGGTACAATTTTATATTAGTTATCAAGGGAACGCTTCTCTTGGGAGGTACTATTTGAGCTGAGTTCCAAATAATAAGACAATTTCTCTCAACATCAGTTTTGGCTTTTTGCTTTAGCTGAGGGTTAGTGTCGAACCTTCTAGAGGGAAAACACTGAGTCTCCATCATTTAAAACGCCCGTGCTTATTTCAGAGAACATTCTGGGAACCTTAACAACAACAATAACAAAACAACCTAATTTTACCTATTGCTCCATAATAGGCCAACCCATAACTCATTGTCTCAAAACAGCAGTTAGTTATTTCTCATGAGCCTGTGGGTCAGCAAGGGGTTGAATGATCTAAGCTGGGCTTAGCTGGAGAGGTTTGACTCCATGTTTCTCCTGCCCTCTCCTTTCCATGGAAATGGCAGAAGTACAAGAGCAAGGAAGTCACAAGGCCAAGCCCAGGGACGTGGTGGAAGGGCATGGCAAAGTTGGATGCCATAAACCACGGAAACCAGGGATGGGAAGAGAATTTAGCTAGAGTAGCAAATAACATACCTGGATTCTAGTATTGCATTTGCCACCAAGTGTGTCATTTTAGGCATGTCACTTGCTCTCTCTGGGTCTTTACAGTATTCTCATGTGTAAAATGAGATCATTTGATTCAATAATTCCTACATTCCCTTCAAGTTCTAAATTTCCCAAGATCCCTTAATTTTTGAAGGCTAGATGGCATTTAGGGCAACTGAATAATAAATACCCAAATCTTTTATGAAAAGAACTAAAATCTATCATTGGCTCCTATAAATGCTTCACAATGGTGTGTTGACCTTACCGATGCTGCTGAGTAGTGAAGATAACAATGGAAAAAGGGCAATAACAATGGGAAGGGGCATCATTTGCAGACTCCGTGGACTATTTTTCAAGACTTTACAAGAGGATGGTTGGGTTCTCATTCAGAAAACTGTGATGGTTAAGAACTTGGGCCCTGGAATGAGCACCCAGACACTCGGGGGACCCTGGTTGGCCCATTCAGTGGCTGAATGACTTCTCTTTCAGTGCCTTCATTTTCTCATTTTTAAAAAGATGAGAATAAGAGTATATAGTTCATATTATCGATATGAGTACTAACTGAAATATTGCGTATAAAGTTTAGGAAGAGTACCTGGAACACAGTGCTCAAGAAATATCAGCTATTTGTACTGCTTGTTTAAGCTATCTGAAATCCAGGTATAAATTACGTTTATATATGTGCAGATACATGTATGTATGTGTGTATGTTGCATGATAGATACATATGTTTATGTATATATATACATAGTGTGTGTGTGTATCTATGGTACACGTATATATATATTTAAATGTAACAGTCTATGAGTCCTATTGTCTTACATCCAGCCCATTTCTCTCTTCCTGGCCTCTGTAGATATTTGCATTTTCAGTCTCTACTTCAGAAAATTCTAAGGGCTCCTCCAGTTTCTCCAGATGAGCAGTAAGCTCTAAATGTGAAACCACTACAAACTGGTCAGTCATCTTCTCGACGGTTCTTCAAGCAGGTGAAGGAAACTCAGAAGGAATATATTCCAATTTTTTTTAATGTCCAGAGAAAGAAGCAGTAGCTCTTTTTTCCCCTTACTGTAGGCTTTTAGGCATCATGGTTATGAAATATGGCTGCAACATTCTTTTAAATCCTTTTAAGCAGCAGTCATCCTCCTCTCTCCCTCCCTATTACCTCCCTCCCCGAAACTATTAAGCCCTTCACAGGTATCAATCGTCGGGAAGTAGGAAGAACTGCACTTTAAAAGGATTTTAAATAATGTCTCCAAGAAATATAACAGCAGATTGTTCAGTGGGGATTATCAGCCAAGAGTGTGCTGGGGGGGGAGGGTTCTCTCTTAAAAGGTCTTTAAATAATGTAAGTGTACTTCTTGGCAACATTTCTCAGGGCCATTTAAAGAGCAGATACCTCTGCTGCACCTACCCACCAGGAGTGTGCACACAAAAGAGACATGAGGGTGACACATGCCAATGACGTTCCCATACCCTTGACGTTGCGGTGACACAAATATTGTAAGCTTTATCCAAAACGTCGAGAGTACTAGAGACCCATTTAGCAAAGAGACTCTCCTTCCTTCCAAAAGCCAAGGTCAAAGAACCCCAAAGAATATTTGAACATTTTTTCAGTAAGCTTTGGGGGGAAATGCATTTTCTGTGCTTTCCAAGAGGGTCTTGAGAAAGGGACTGTTTCTTTACTTTCTCTTCTCCTTTACCCCTTCATAAAATCAAACTTAAGGTCTAAAAGCATCAAAATCTAAAAAGCATCTTCTGTCTTCTTCCAACCACTCCATCTCCAACTCCCTCCCTGGTCCAGCCTCATTCATATCTGCTGGACAGGTGGAGGAGGAAGGGTGTGGCATGTGGTGGAAGTTAAGGGCTTTGGCTTTGGAGACAGAAAATCTGAGTTTAAAATCTGGTTCTGCCACTAGTGGTGAATTTAGAAAAACGTTGTTTACCTCACTGGGCCTCAGTCTTCTCATCTGTAAAACAGGGCTAAACCATGCCTGCTTCCAGCATTGTTGCTAAGGTTCAGTGGAATCAAGAGTGTAAAGCACTCAGCTCCATGCCTAGTACATTCTAAACACTTGATACATGGTACTTGGGGCACTGTGACTTAGAGGCCGTGATTTTGTGAGTGTGATTTTAGTTGTTTAGGGGACAGGAGGAGCCTGTCTTGATGTATCTGACTTGGTGAGGCCAAGAGTGGAGTCTAATACACAACTGGTACCAAGGACTATTTCAGGATGGTTGTAAGGGAGTTGTGCACTGCCTGAGAAACTGGGGGTCAAGTGGAGCTTTCCTCCTGAGGAGGAAGAATGAACAACCAATTCCAATATTCATTGTGGACACAGGGGTCCCTTGGGCCATTTTACAGATAGACTTTGTACAAATTGCAATGTAGAGAAATTGCAGAAGGATGTTTCTTCCTTGTCTCAGAGATCAAACATAAAGCAGAAAAGACAGCTCAAAGACTCACTGTTTTCCTTGACAGCCCAGAAGAGTTTAAGAAATGAGAAGTACCTTTATCCAATGGATCCATGTACCTACATTCTTGGGGAACAGTGAAATGTTAGGGCCGGGACCGAAGATCACCCCCCAAAAATGACGTTGAGCTGACAGGTAAGTGAAAATAATGCAGCTCAAATGATGTGAGGGAAAATCATGTTCCTCTAGCATTCAGACAGTGGAACAGGTCCTGTGTCATTGACCACAATGACAGAAAATCAAACTGAACCCCATTAAAGGAAAAAAGCCATCTATTTTAGTTAGCCCAGCAGGCACCTGAAAGCTCCTCTCAGTGTGAAAAAATGGAAGGGCACTTGAGAAGATGGAGGTCTCGGTTCTAATGACTATGTTTGCACCTCCTGGAGAGGATGGATCTCTCTTTTAAATATGAAGGATTGATTTTGAAAATAGTCTTCTCTGCTATGTTAGTTCTTTTCCTGCCTTTCAATGACAAGAGGACATGATTAGGTGAGGACCTTTTCAGTTAACCGAGATGAACCAAAACAAGGAAACCATTTTTTAACAGCAAAAAGCTGGCAGAGCCTTATTTGTTCTAATACTTTAATTCCAGTGTATTAAACAACCGTGCCACAATAGGAGAAATTTAAGACAAATCATCATAGAAATAAGAGAAAAGAAAAATGCTTTTGAGATTTTCTTAAAGAATGTCAAAGAAATTTTTACAATATCATTGCTACCTGGAAAGGAAAGGTAGAAATTCTCTCTTTAATTCTTTTTCTAGTTGACGTTCCAGGTATCTTGGTCTTCCTGACCATCATCTGTTGATAGAAACACAGACTGACTCTTTGGCCCTTATCAAATAAAGAGAAAGCCTAAAGAAACTACCTAGATAACTGAAACCCACCCCCCAAACACTTTGGCCTCAACTATTTTATGGGAAGGCTACAAAGAGCTTGTAAAAATTTTGACATCAGTTTCCATAAACACTTCCCCATGGCTTCACCAAGATAAATGAAAGTTGTTCCAAGTCATAAGTTCCAATTGTCATCATTATTATTATTACTGTAATTCTGCTTTACAAGCTAAGATGGAAAGGGTTACACTTACATGCCCTTCAAGCTCAACATGCAAAAATATTTTTTCGTAGACATATCTTGATTTTAACTTATTTCTTAACTTCTTGGTAGTGTCCCAGTAACTCACAAGCCAACTTAGCACAATCAGCATTTTATTTGGTTTTCCCCAACTAGACTGTCTTTCAAGATGTTTAACTACTGAAAAAGCCATGTTCTGAGCATCATTTTACCTGCCTGCTCATGCCTTATATTTGAATTTGACTTTCTAACTGAAAATAAATATGTAATAAGTCTATAATAACTTTTTCTATGGAGCAAAGCAAAGATATACATTTTTCTACTACAAATAAGATCAGGAACCACTCCCTTATGCATTAGACCTCCAGCCTGGCTTCATTTGAAACCATAAGGAGGAGATGGGAGGTCATATGTCTTTGATAGTGATGTTTTATCGGTTTTAGTTGGGTGTTAGGAAGAAGGGAGGGAGTTGTGGGTATAGAGAGTGACTTCAGAAGGGTCTACCACAACTCAAGAATGATAAGGTAAAATCTGGCGTCTGAGTCCCTGTGTACTTGGAAAAAGAGTACAATTACACAATAAGAGAAAAGAGAAAAAGCTTCCACCCATGTTAGGGAAGAATCTTTTGGGTCCAACCCTGAGTTGAAGCCAATGACTCATTGCAATACTGGCAAGTTCTCACCGTTGGCGTGGATGCTTTAAACAGAGATGGGAAAATTGGAAGGTAGCAAATCTGATTCCTCCGCCTCGGACAAGCTGCAGTGCTTGCCTTACTCAGTCCAGTGGATGTGTTGACACCAAATCATACGAGGTGGGTAGGCCCACAGCTTAAAACATCCCCATGGCGTCTCGATGATTAACTCAGCAGCTTGAGCTATTCCAAATGTTGCTCTCTTGTCAGAGAAAAAGAATAAATACATTGGGTGTGAGTGATGGCCAGCGAGGGAAAGCTGGAATGTTTGCTCAGCCTCAGTGTTCTGTGAGCTGAACAGCTTTCCAAAGCCACTTTTTTCCCCTCTCCAGATGTTCCTGAGGAAGATGCAAATGAGTGTATTTTAGTGTTGCAAAACTGTCAAATCCTGCCCAAGGAACTTAAAAGAATGTCGCCAAGTCCAGCAAGTCTCCTCTCTGATGGGGAATGTCTGTGTTGTTATCAATCAGATAACCAGAGGGTCCATAACAAAATATATGCTGTTTTCTTATATCAGAACAGACATTTCTCAAATATTCTCATGAATATTGTCTTAAATTATTTTATTTTCTCATAAATACTAGCTCATAAGTGTCATCCCATGATGTGCTCGCTGAGACATTGTTTCACAGTATAACTCGTGATATTTATAGGTGGCCCTGCTTCGCAGATGAGTAGCCTGAGGGACAGAGACTATAAGAAGACTTGCCCAGCATCTCCCCTGCTCAAATAGGACCAAGTATAAAAACCAATGCTTCCCTTTCAGTTCTCCCTCAAGCCATCATTAGATTTGGTTCTTTGTTTTCTTCCTAGGTCACACTATTTTTAAGGTGCTAATAGTATATAACAAGGTCTCAATGCTGAGGAGAGAAGATGAGAATTCAGAGATTCTCTGTTGATCTCTTGGCAGAAAGAGTGAGCCTGTGGGTCTGTGCCCTGGTTCATTCTATGTCCAATGAGAGCATCTGTCCTAGTTTGGACTAGCCAGAATTGAACTTTGAGAACATTTGAAAAGGAGGATAAACTAGAGGAAGGCGTTAGAATTCTGACTAATAAAAAAATTCTGTGGACACCAGAGAGGGAAAAGAAGGGAACAAATCTAGAGAGAAAGGGATACTAAGAAAGGGACATTTCCTTGAGTGTACACAAACTATGACTCTACAGTGCCAAAAAGCCAATTAAAATAGAAGCACTTATTCATACAAATATTTGCAAATATCATCATTACTACATGAGTTAGGAAGTATATGCAATTTTACTAAATATTCCAGGTTTCATCAGAATTTTTAGCTGGGTAGAAACATAGTTTAATGTTAAGTCTGTGTAGAATGTCCAAAATGGAAAATAAATGCATCAATTATCTGGTTACTTTTTGATACCTTTGTTAATGAGCCAATATTGATATATTATTATTGACTAAAGTCTACAGTTGATTTAGTTTTTACCTAGTGTCCTTTCTCTGTTCCAGGAGCCTAATCTGGATACCACATGACTTTTAGTCATTCTGTCTCTTAGGCTCTTCTCACTATGCCATTTTCTCAGACTTTCCTTATTTTGATGATTTAACGTTTTTGAGGAGTTCCTCCCTTCTCACACTGCATACTTTTGGAAGGAAGTCACTATGTGCAGTCCGTTTCTAAGGAGAGAGGAGTTTTTCTCCCCCTTCTTGAGAGTTGAGTATCTGCATAGTTTATTTGAAACCATTCTGCATGGGAGATTTGCCTCTTCTTCTTCCCTTATTAATTATCCAATTGTTTATTTATTTCAATGTGGACACATGGGTATTTATTTTATACTTTGGGTTATAACCCAGTGCTACATTATTTATTTTTTTGCCCAAACTGTTCCAGCTTTGGCCCTTGGGTGTTCTTTCAGTTGGCTCCTGTACTCCTTTGACATACCCCGATCAATGTGTGCGGTCTTTCTTTCTTCCCTCCCTCTTTCCCTCCCTCTCTCTCTCTCTTCTTCCTTTCTTTCTTACCCTTTGAGCACTTCCTTACTTCCTGGCACCACAAGATGCTCCAGGCTCGTCTTGGGTATTTCTTGCTGCAGTCCTACGATCAGTCCTTTCTCCGAGGAATCCGACTTCTTTTAGCAGAGAATGGTATTACAAACCAAGATCTTCGTACTGGGTGCGCTTGTTGCTACTGGACTGTCCTTTCTTTTAGGCCAACTCATCTGACAGAGCAAAAAAGATATGTTTTTATACTAACCCATGTATATGCACATATCTATAAATATTCCTATGTGTTACCACCTATATCTGTCTTAAGTGAAATATAAGTTCAACTGACACCTCCAACTCTAATCCATTAATTACATGGGTCTTTCTAGTTTCCTCCCCTTGCTTGTCTGTAAACTGCTACTCCAACAGTGAGAAACTTGGCTCTCACTATCCGCCATCTACTTACCTAATTGTTCTATTCCAGCATACATGTATAGCAGTATCAGAATTGTTCATCTGTACTCCTGCGGAAAACAACTTTATCAACTTGAGTACAGTGCTATGTACAGTTCCTTTTCCTTCAGTCTTACCGACTCTACTCATTTCCAAAGATAATTAGGTGAGCACCTTGTCCCCCATCCCCTTCAGTAAGCTTGTTTCATGCATTTGTAATCCAGTTAGATGCTCTTGTCAGAGTCTGCATTATTTCCCAAGACCCCCTCCCATAACCTTCTAAATAACTTTTAAAAAGTTTGTCCCCAAGGCTCAAGGCAGGGGCAGCCCCACCCTTTGAAACCAAGGAGGCAGACCTGATGATTTCTGAATTACCTTTGGAGTCAGTCCTCCTTTTTCTTGAAGAATAGCACAGCCACATAGCTCTATTGTCCCATCCTATTCCCTTTGGTCCAAACTGACAGCATCTCTTTGGAATAATCTCATCTCTGTTCCTGGTTTCCGTGGAGATGGCTGATTCGATCTGTGGTCCACACCCATATTAATTTTCTAATCACATGGTTGCTCACCCTCACCTTCAGTGTTCTCTTCAAAGCATATTTTCTCACTTTTTGTCATAGGGATAGCCTGAGCATTTTCCAGAACTCCTAGTTCAGGTTCATTTTTGCTTAACAGTTCCTCCAATTTATCTCCCCTCGAATTTGTCTCCTCTAAAATTTTTCTATAAGTGATAAGAAGAAACCAAGCCACTCCTTCAACATTTTACTTAGAAATCTCAGCTAAATATCCAATTTCATTACTTACAAGTTCTATCTTACACAAAATACTAGAACACAAACACAATTCAAGCAAGTCCTTTGCCAGTTTATAACAAGTATCGCCTTTCCTTCAGTTTCCAATGATATGTTCCTCATTCTACCAGAATGACCTTTAACATTCATCTTCCCACCAACATTCTGTTCATGAGAAAATATGTATTCCCCAAGATGATAAAGGCTTTCTCTTTAGCTCTCCTTTTCTTTCTGAGTTCTCACCAGAATCTCTTTTAATGTCCCTATTTCTGTCAACAATCCCTTCATGGCCACCTATGATTTTTCTAGCATGCACCTCAAAATTCTCCCAGCCTCTACCTATTACCCGGTTTCAAAGCAGCTTCTGTATTTTTAGGTATTTGTTAAAGCAGCACTCCACCTCTCTGGACCTAATTCTGTATTAGTCTGCTTGGGCTACCATAACAAAATACCACAGACTGTGTGGATTAAACCATAGAAAGATATTTTCTCACAGTTCGGGAGGCTGGAAAGTCCAAGATCAAGGTTCCTGCAGGGTTCAGGTTCTGGTGACAGCTCTCTTCCTGTCTTGCAAATGGTCACTGTCTCACTGTGTCCTCACATGGCCTCTCCTCAGTGTGTGCACATGGAGGGAGGGAGGGAGAGGCAGAGAGACAGAGAGAGAGTTCCCTCTCTTTTTCCTCTTATAAGGCCACCAATCCTATTAGATTATGGCCCCACCATTGTGACCTCATTTGACTTTAATTACCGCCTAAACACCCTATCTCTGAATATAGTCACACTGGTGGTTTGGGTCTCAACATATGAATTTGGGAGTAGGGGGACAGTGTGGAAGGACACATTCAGCTCACAGCAGCATACATTAAGGTTCACTCTTTGTGATGTATGCTTTTATGTATTTTGACAAGTGCATGATGTCTTGTGTCCACCATTACAGTATCATACAGGATAATTTCAGTGTCCTGAAAATCCCCTGTGCTTCCTCTATCTAACCCTCACTCCTGAACTGCTGACAACCACCGATCATTTCACTCTTTCTATAGTTTTACTTTATCTAGCTATTTTAATCATTGTAGACAAGCAAACTGAGCAAAATTTCTGAACTAAATTATGTATATTAAAAGTCTACATATGTGATCTCTCAAGATTTCATCTAAAAAAGGTAGCGAGTTCGAGCAAAAAGAAATTTTATGTCCTATTTCAGCTCTGATACCATATGTTAATTTATCCTTTTGTTTCCCTGTCAAAAGAGGATCAATTTTCTAAGCTTCTGTTGACATGAACTTAGTACTATTGAACACCCATGGACCTCTGTATGTTATCTCTTATTCATCGTAAAATAATGCCTGGCATTTCCTTCTCTTGTTTTCTCTGCCTAATTTAAACTTAGAATTCAGACCAGACTCATATTTATTAAAATACCAAATCATAAATGATGTTGAAAAATGTAATTACATGTATGATCAGCTTCAAGAAAATCTTATATAAGTAAATTCATTCCATTATTCCCATTAAAAAGTAATTTACTAAAATACTTATTTAAATAATGCTCTCTCCCAGTGGTTATTTAATTATCAAAAATGAATTTGACATATCAGTTCTCAGCTGATTTATAGCTACACCTATGCTAATAAAAATAATCAACCCAGTAGAATAACAAAAATTAACAAAACTGATTTTCCATATTTGCTTACTAAAGTTTTAGCAGGGAGAATGTTCTTCATTAGGAACCATATGGTTCTCTGGGGGAAAGCTAGCCACCATGCAAGAAGAGTGACCACCTTGAGACTTCCACGCTGGAGAGGCTACCTGTAGGTTCTCAGGTCACCACTCCCAGCTGAGCTCAGCAATTGAGCCACCCCAGCCCAGCCTTCAGATATGTACCTGAGGAGCCTTCAGGTGATTCCAGACTCCAGCTTTCATCCTCAGCCTTTGAATATTCCCATCTGAGGTCCCTGACATCATGGAGTAGAGACAAGTCACCCCTGCTTGAAATCCAAATCCAGGGAATCCATGAGCGTAATAAAATAATAAATTCTCATTTTATGCCACTAGGTTTTGGGGTGATTTATTATAATGGCAGTAATAACTAGAAGAGTTTAGTTTCCTCTCAAGCAGACCCTGAGAACAGCATTTGATTGCAAGTAGATTATTTGAAAGCTGATCCCAGGAAGCATCAGTTGGAGAGCAGAGAAGTGGGAGAGGGAAGGGAAGAAAACCAATATGGTAAGTTAATGAACAAGTTGCTACTATGGTCAAATGGGGTCCCTTGGTGTTGGGGACTCCTGGAAGATGGTTCAGAAAGTGCCTCCAAGTTTTCCTACCTGATGGGTGGTGAGACTGGGGTATTTACCCATCAATACTTATCCATCATTGCTTGAGAGGTATTCTAGGATGTTAACATGCAGGCACCTGACCTGCCCTGCACATGGGCTGAGCGCTCTCCTACACAGTCACAGGAACTTGTAGCGAGAAGCTGTGGGCCTGGGAATGTTGAGTGCAGAGGCGATATAGCGGGAGCCACAAACCCACCAAGCAGGAGTTCCTAAACTGGAGTCCAATGAGCCATGGTTGGGTTTCAGTGGCCCACTAGCCTCTGGAAACTGTCTTTGAAATTCCGCATGCGTGAACACATATGTATTTTTCTAGGGAGAGAATTCAGGATTTCTTCAGCTTCTCTAAGCAGTCTGTGAGGCAAAAAAAGGTTAAGAATAAGGAGCCAAGATAATAAGAAGAGTTATGCACCTCAGGCTCTCTTTCTTGTATCAGATAATCAGAATCAATAATAATTGTAATCACTATTAAATAATTAGCAGATATACAATAATTGAACAATAAGCCTTATAAACTGTATTAAATTATAATAACCGAACCAAAAATTACTTGAAGAAAGATTGATTGTCATACTGTCCCCTTAGGAGAAGCATTTTGGCAGATGAAGAAACTAGGGAATATCCAAGAAAAAGTAGTCACACTTCAACCACTGCCAAGATAGTGGCTTCACAAACAATACTAGACATCTGGTGGAAAAAGGGCAAATTACACCTTTACATATAGTCTAACAGTGACACGTTCGAACACTTCTTTCTCAACAGTGGTTAATACTTTTTATTAATATAAGATAAGAAAATAATAATACTACAATGACAACCATAATAAGAATTGAAATCAATAAAATGCACTGACACCAAGAAAATCTCAAACTGCTAGGCATGTCCTCAGCATCAAACTTAAGCAAAGTATCCTTCTCTTAGTCAACTTTCTCCAAAAGCAGGAGACCAGTTTCAGAGAAAAACTATGAAAGTATGCCTGCAGGGTGGAATTTGGTCATGTAACCCAAACTATTTAGTTAGTTGGTACTTAAAGATTATCCTACCACTTCTTCTCCAAAACCATAGCCACTCAAAGGTACAGTTTGATTAAATTTTTTATTTTTTTAATTAATTATGTTGGCTTTTGTATACTATTTAAATTAGCAGTTATAAGACTAGTCCACCATTAATCATACTCCTAAATACTTCTCAAGAATTCTGCATGAGGTCAAAGAAAGTAAAGGCAAAATGAATTCAAATAAGTATGGTTTGTAAGTTCCTAAACCAAAAAGTAAAATGACAGTACTTCTAATTATAGTATTGCGGAAAATATCAGTTGATTTCCTTTGACAAAAGATGTCTGCTACCTGTGTCTCAACCAACTATTTCAAGCTGTTCTTCCATGTCCTTGAAGTAAGGAGCTGTACTTCTCTTCCACCCTCCACTCACCCCTTCAGAGATAGATCAAGTCACTCATCCAAATACTGCTTTGTTAATATTTTCCTCAAAGAGTCTTTCAATGATAATTCATTACTACAAAATCCATAATGACGTTTAATTGTATATCTATTGTCGCATGCTATTATTTAAATCTCAATGGACGTCACTTTCTCCTTCTCACTCAGAAAAAAAACATTTTTCCCTCCAAACATCTGCATTAACACATAGTTTATGTTTTCCTGGGATAGGTTAAATGAGTGACAAAATGCTAGCTTCTGAAATTATTAACCCAGGTAGGGAAAAAAATGTTATATCTACCTTTCTATCCATAATCTATATATAAAAGACACAATAATACTTTAACAAGCACCCCAAAAAAGATTGTGTTCTAACGTTATTGGAAAAAATATCTTAGGATATATCCTCATAGCTTGTCAACTATTTTTGTCATTTAAAATAAATTTTGTTTAAGAAAATGCTGCCATTGTATTTGACCTGTTTATCACTCTGTACAGTGCGGTAAATTTCATAGAAATATTAAGCCCTCCTCGATCAAAATTAAACACTATGAAAAATATGGGAATACCAAATTTACTTTAAATTTTTATGTCAATCAACTGTTGTCAAGGCAGTCCAGAAAAAGTTGTGCTGTTAAGTTATGAGCTCATTTATACATGCTTATGACTATCTCACCAAATGATGAGACTTTAGATACAGCTAGTTGACAGCTTTTTTTTAATCAGTAAGGCCAAAGTTGTTTTATCACTTTAATATCATATGATTATCTTTTTATAAATTTGTTTGGTTTTATTAATTTATTGAACCAGTTAAACTATTCATATATGTGGCCTTAATTTCAGCTTGTATATAAAGACAAACATTAGAAAAGAAAATAAATTATAGTGAGTTATTTAAGCTATGTCTCAAAGGGTTATGACTAGTTAAGAAGTGGTGTTGATGACTTAACTGAACAGAAACTCAACTAGGAAGAATGACGTACGTATCTAAATTCTCCTTCTCTGAAGGAAGTAGGAGGAGATAATCAGTGGTGAACTATGCTGGTGCGGTTCTCTAAGCAGAGCCAGGGGAGGACATCTTTCACCCAAAGTTGCAATCAAAATCCTAGGTGTGCCCGGGGTCAAGAGCCAAATGGGAGACATAAAGGAAACTAAATCCGAAGCAGAGAGGAGGGTCTAAATAGGTCCAAGAGCAGATTTTAAAAATAAAAAAGATCAGAAGTCAAAACTGAGAGCCAACGAAATAAGAAGGGTAATCAGGATCAGGACAAGAAGTAGCAAAGACTGGACCTGGGCAATTGCACTGATCGTGTGCTCCTTGACTGACTTTCGTGTATTTGTGGGTAATTCTGTTGTATTGAACGAATGAGGGACAAGGCAAGTGTGGACAATCGTTGGGTGAGATCTGAGGGATTTAAGGCCTGAAATGACTGGAAGCAATCATCCTCCACTTACTGACAAAACAGAAGCTGGCGGAAAAGAAAACCAACTACTAAACCCAAGTTGAATCTGAGTGATTATCTGAAAGTAATGAAAATGGAAACATCAAAGCACAAGACGAAGTCCGGAAATCTGGTAAAGAACATAGATGAAGAGCAAGGAAACTCTTAGCACCTAACTGCAAGTTTTCCTTGTCAACCTCCCATTCTGCTTTTCATAGGGAAAATGAAAGTAGGAATAGTTGATACTGACTTAGTTCAATGGAGCACTATGCAGATGAATGTGTCAAGTACTTCCAGATCCCTTTCTTCACCAAACTGCACTTTATTAGAAGAAAGTAGATGGGCGGTATTAAAGTAGGGAGAGTTACATGAGAGAAAAAGCTGTAAATCACTTACATTTACTGATGATACCACAGGGTTTACCAATCCACAGAATAAGAATTCACTGAAACATGTACATTATAGGTAAAATTTCATATTTCCAAAGACTATTTTGTGAGTGCATGATCAAAGATTAAAATGAAGATTTTTTAAAATAAGAATTTGAGGAGTGATGAAAGCACTTTATTTTAAAGCTAAGACCGAGGTGTCTACCAGGTGTAGATAGAAACTAAAGCTATCAACCTGGAAATCTTCCATCAAGTCCTGAAGCATTCACAACTCTTGGATGTGTACTCAGCACATAAAAAATTAAAGAACTTTTATCAATGATAGATTATTTTCCCATCCTTAAACAATCAAGAGGATTTGGTTATTACCAACTATTTGATAATCTCCTCAACAACTATTTACAGAGCATCCGATACATTCTCAGCCTGAAACTATAGGTAGTGAGCATGGTTTCTGTTCTCAAGCAAGTTATACTCAGTCAGGAAGGAAAGAGAAACTCAAAGAATCAGAGAACAATCAAGTATTAAACTATAAGGTTGACCCATGATTATTGTTCTTTTAGGAAAGAAAGGACAAGTTATCAGCTGAAAGTACCTATTTGAAAAGGGATGATAATAATGAGAAATTGGAGGAAAACATGGAGGAGAGGGAAGAGGAAGAAGATTATAGTCACTACTATGTTCTAGGCACTGGGCTATTTTCTTTACATACAGAAGCTGTTTTTTAAATCATACCAATGACAATAATAATAATATCTAATATTTTTTGAGTGCTGGACAAATATTTACAGATATTGACTCATCTAATCCCTATGATAAGTCCTATAAGATAGGGATTAAGGTTTTTTTTTTCTCTTTTTACAGATAAGGAAA